CAGGGCAGTGGCTCAGGGCCGTGTCCCCCGTCCCCAGGGCGGTGTGTCAGGGCTGTGTCCCCTGTCCCCAGGGCCATGTCCCCTGTCCCCAGGGCAGTGGCTCAGGGCCGTGTCCGCCGTCCCCAGGGCCGTGTCCCCTGTTCCCAGGGCGGTGTGTCAGAGCCGTGTCCCCTGTCCCCAGCCACATCACTCACCTTCAGAGCTGGGCGAGTCCTGGGTGCTGGCAGAGCCATCGGCGGCTGCGAGTGACACGGAGGGGAGGGTGGGCTCAGAACGGCTCTGCTCTCACCCCGCTCCTTTTGGAGCTCACATCCTCACTGACATCCCCCAGTTCTGGTCCCTATGTCCCCATTGCAGCCCCTCAGCCCAAAGCTCAGCAGTTTTCCCAGTCCCTTTGCTCCCTGCAGAGCTCTTCCCGGGGCACAGAACCACCCCCAGTGTCCCCAGCAGCCCTGCATTCCCCCGTACCTCTGCGGCAGAGGCCAAGGGTGAGCAGGGCCAAGAGGGTCAGCAGGACGAGGGACTTCATGGTGCCTTCCTGTGCTGAGCTGAGTGCAGCCCTGGCTCCGGGGTGTCTTTATAGGGTCCCGTGGCCTTGGCAGAGGGCGAGCACGGCCTCACCAGGGTTATTTCCAGCACATCCGCCATGGCCGGAGCTGCTGGCAGAGGTGGCAATTGTGGTTTGGGATGAACTTGGTCCCCCTGTGCCCAGCCAGAGCCCACAAAGGGAGGGGAAAGTGGCCCCAGGCCAGGGGGGATTTGCTGGTGGGCCCAGCCCTGCCAGCCTGGCAGCGCCCAGTCCCTGCTGGAATGGGTGATGGGGCACTGGGGGCTCCTCGTGCGCTCCCCAGTCACCCACTGCCCTGACCCAGCTCCCACTGCTGATCCCAGAATCATCTGTGACACAGGGAGACTTTCCTGCCAAAACCCGTGGGGTTTTCCTCCATGCGCAGGGCCAGAGGGAACTCGCTGGCCCACTTCTGGGGGACCAGCAGGTGCTTCTTTTGGGCAGTCACAGCGTCCCTGGGGTCGGTGAGCAGGTGCCTGTGCCTTGGTCCCCGCAGCTCCTCCCTGCCACGGGCAGATGCTGCGTGGCCAGGGCAGTCGAGCCCCTGAGTAACATTCTTCTTTCAGAGCCCGACCACCTTTTGATGCTGTAAATCCCAGCCCTGTCTCAAAAAGCGGAACTGGAGGCTTTGGGGCAGAGGGTGGACAGAACTGCTGAAGCAGAGCCTTTGTCAGACAAAGCCATAAATACAGAGTATGTGAGCCAAGAACACAGCGGGAGCCAGACTGGGAACAACAGCCCCAATTTATTGAGATTCCAGCAGAGCGAGGGGAGGCAGAGGGGAAACGCCAGGCAACTCTAATTGCTTACAGAGGCTGGGGCGTGGGGAAAGCGGCCGCTGCCCCTCCCAGCGTGTCCCAGGGCAGGGCCTCTCCTTCGGGCAGAGACCAGGGACTCAGCCCGGGGCCTCTCCTCACTCCCTGCCCAGCCCCAGGAACAGCCTGTCCGTGCTGCAGGCACCCGTCACTGCTGGGGCTCAGCCAGGGAGATCCTGGGAGCCTTCGCTTCCCCAGCCCGCAAACAGACGAGGCAGCAGCAGACAACTCTGGGTGGGGAAAACCAGTCTGGCTCTAGAAGGTTCCACAGAAAAACATGAAAACCCTGTGCTACAAACCCACAAAGCAGAGGCAGGGCTGTTCCAGCCTCTGCACAGATCCCCAGATACCTCAGGCTGCTGGGAGGGGACCAGGGCTAGAAAGTAACTTGGAGAACAGAATTAATGGGAACGAGGAACTTGGTGCAGCAGCTGCTGCCACATCTGCAACAGGCAGGGTCTGAACACAGGGAGACTGAATGAACCTGCAGGCACAGTGACCCACTCGTGCTCCTCGTGGGCTCCTCAGACCTGGGCACAGCCTGGCTTAAGGCACTGTATTTTGGCTAAAGCACAGCTAAAACAGCTACAAAACACCAAATGTGGCTTTGGGAACTGAAATCAAGCCTGTCACAGCACTGAGTGGAGCAGATGAGAGCACAGACACACTTTGTGACATTCCTCTGTCTAGCTGAGTAGGAAATATGGAATTGCCATCCATTTCCAAAGATCTCAAAGGTTTTTTGTTTCTGCACCAAATCTGATCAAACTGTGCCAGTCCAGCAGCTGTTTCAGTCCCTCTGCATCTCCGGTGGCCTGATGGGGTAATTGTCAGTTTGGGTTCTGCACACACCTTGTCCCATCAGTGCTTTGGGACAATGAACTGTCTCAGCAGAGCCTGTGGGACATCCTGTGGCCTCACTGGGGCTCCTGGAATGTCATGATGAGTTCTCGTTGCTCCTTACTGCTTGCCTGGAAGGAACACAACCCACAGACCTCAGCACGAAGCTTCTCCCACTCTGCCACACTCGGGGCTGAATGTGAGCTGAGCATGTCACACACTGCTGTCCCCTGGGACCATTCCACATCCCACCCACTGCACAGGGAAAAGCACCTGAGACCTCCAGAGACAATGTCCACACCCAAAGTTTCAGCAGGACTTGGCTGCTGGGGAGGTGCTGGAGAAGTGGAGGGTTTGGCAATCATTCCAGGCCCCACTGAGCCCCGCTCCAGCAGGTGCCGTGAGGAGGTTGGTTTGGGTTGGGCTGGGTTGGTTCGGTTTGGGTTGGGATGATTTGGGTTGGGTGGGTTCGGTTTGGGATGGTTTGGTTTGGGCTTGGTTGGTTTGATTTGGGTTTGGATGGTTTGGTTTGGGTTGGGATGGGCTGGGCTGGTTTGGTTCGGTTTGGGTTGGGATGATTTGGGTTGGGTGGGTTCGGTTTGGGATGGTTTGGTTTGGGCTGGGTTGGTTTGATTTGTGTTTGCATGGTTTGGTTTGGGTTGGGATGGTTTGGTTTGGGTTGGTTTGGGCTGGGCTGGTTTGGGTCTGTTCAGTTTGGGCTGGTTTGGTTTGGGTCGGTTCGGTTTGGGATGGGTCGGTTTGGATTGGGAGGATTTTGTTTGGGTCGGTTTGGGTTGGTTTGGTTCGGGCTGGGCTGGTTTGGGTCGGTTCGGTTTGGGATGGTTTGGTTTGGGTCAGTTCGGTTTGGGATGGTTCGGTTTGGATTGGGAGGATTTTGTTTGGGTCGGTTTGGGTTGGTTTGGTTCGGGCTGGGCTGGTTTGGGCTGGTTTGTTCCGGTCTGTTTTTACCTGCCAGGCCTGTTGGCGAGCCTGGATCAGCTGCTGCAGCTCTGCAATCCTGTTCCTGCCCGCCAGCACGGCCTCGGCCGCCGCGCCGCCGCGCTGCTCCCTGTCGCGCAGCGCCCTGCGCAGGTGGGCGCGGTGCTGCAGCAGGTAGGGCAGCAGCGCGCTGCGCACGTCCTGCTCCGGGAGCCCGCTGGGCCGCCTGCGCACGCGGCACGCGTCAGCACCAGAGCAGGGAGCAGAGAGCAGAGCTCAGAGACCCCACCCGGCACGGGCCCACCCTGCTGAGCTGAGCCAGCTGGGATCGCCTCTGGGGCTCCCCCAGCTTCCTCTGGCACGGGGAACTGGGCACAGCCAGAGCGGGGACCCAGGGCAAAGCCCTGCTGGAGGGAGCAGGGAGCTCCTCCCGAGCCTGACCCTCCGTGGGTGCCTGGAACAGGCAGGATGTCATTCACCCCCCAGCCCAGAACACAGAATCCTCTGCTTCTGGTCACAGTCGCCAGTCTGCCTCCCAGCTGGCTCAGCCTGCAGTGTCTGCTGAGGCCCCGAGGCAGGGACACAGAGCACGCAGGGGGACTCTGCTGCTGGACAGGTGCTGTGCCCAAAACACCCCATCAGCCCTTTGGATTGTCCCCCCATCTCAGTGGCACTGACCTCCCTGCACTAAGGAAGTGAATGGAAATTGATCCTGCACCCAGAGAAGCACAGATTAAACTGATTTCTGTGTGTTTTAGGCCCCGTGACATTGCTGTAAAGACACAGCAGCTTTCAGACCCTCCCTTGCAGCATGAGGCCAACAGGACACCCAACATCACCCAGGAACTGCCTGTTGCCCTTGTAGGAACATGACCCCCACCCCTGGTCATCCATACCATGCTGGCTTTTCCCGGTCCTTTGCCTCCTCCACGATCTTATCCAGGGAACTGAAGAGCTCCTCCAGATTCCCTTCATTTTTCACCTCCTGGATCTCCTCCTGTGAAGGAAGGACACAAGGTGAACACAGGCACCACTCTGCTTGTGAGTCTTTGCTGGTCATGGAATCAGGGAATTGTTTGGGTTCAAAGGGACCTTAAAGCACATCTTGTTCCTTGGCCTTTCACTAGACCACGTTGCTCCAAGCCCTGTCCAACTTGGATTTAAATTCTTTCAGGGATCCAGGGGCAGCCACAGCTTCTCTGGGCACCTGTGTCAGGGCCTCAGCACCATCACAGGGAGCAATCCCTTCCCAATATACCATCTAACCCTGCCCTCTGGCAGGGGGAAGCCATTCCCCCTTGTCAGTCCATCCCTTATCCAAATTCCTTCCACTTTGTCCTGGAAGAAGAGCCCTCACCCTGGGAATCACCGTTCCTGGGGGTGTTTAACAGATGTGTGGATGTGGCACTTAGGGACATGGTCTAGTGGTGGCCTTGGCAGTGCTGGGGAAATGCTGGGACTCGATAGTCCCAGTGGTGTTTTGCAACCTGAACGATCCTACAGCACTTTCTGGGAAAGACAAAACTCTGGAGAGCAGCCTTAGCTTTCTGCTTTTGCCATTTAGGAAATGTATTTGCTGCCCTTAATGTCAGCCTGTTCAGCACTTTTCCCCGTGCCTTTGAACCCCCTTTTGGACACCCCAAACCCTCCGCAGCCCCCAGGTCGCTCCCCCGTTCACCTTTACGCACGCCTGCAGCTGGGAGATGAACTGATCGTAGATGCTCCGGGTCAGCGGCGGCTGCAGCTTGTAGACGCAGCGGTAGCAGCTGACAAATCTCTGGTAGCTGCAAGGAGGGCAGGATCGGGACGGGCTCACGGTGCGGCCGCGGGGCTGTTCCCGGGGATCCGGTGGCCGCAGGGTCACGGCACGGTTGGGACCGGGCTCAGGGGTCCCTCCCCGCCTCACCTCGCGGCGGCCACCAGCTTCTCGAGGAACGTGTCCACCACGGTGCTGAACACCTGGGCGCGCCCCGGGGCCGCCGCCGGCGCCGGGCCGGCCCCGCCATCGGCCCCGCCATCGGCCCCGCCGCGCTCCGCCCCGCCCGCGCCGCCGCCCGCCGCCGCCATGGCCCCGCGCGCGCCGCCGCCGCCCCAGACCGGCTCGGGGCCCCGCCCCCGGCGGCCGCCGGCGCGGGAAGGGAGCGCGGGAAGGGAGCGCGGGAAGGGAGCGCGGGAAGGGAGCGCGGGAAAGGAGCGCGGGAAGGGAGCGCGGGAAGGGAGCGCGGGAAAGGAGCGCGGGAAGCGTTTGTACCGCTCGGCGGGGCCGCCCCGCCCGGCGCTCCCGGTCCGAACCGAACCGAACCGTGACAAAAACCGCCGCGGTGAAAGTCCCGCCTTCCAGCGCGGGGCTGCGCCCGGCCCCGAAGCGAAGCAGCGCGACTGTGAAAAATGCAGATTTTATGACTGGCTTTGCGCAAATGTTACAATGAATATGATATGTGTGATGGTGGAAAGTTATGCTGCATTAATTCTCTTAAATAATGTGTTAAACAGAGTTTTAGGTTCCAACAGAATGTTAAAATAGAAACTCTGCTATGAAGTTTTTTTTAAGAAATGAGATAATTGCTTCGAGGAATACCTAAATCTTCCAGAAAACAGGAATTTACAGTTTTCTTATCAGAAGAAGCTAATTTCTTCAGGCCTTGCTCAGACTCAAAGACGCCAGGGGATTAAAGGAAACAGTTGACATACAAGAAACAGTTCTTGTTTTAAACAGAATGTATGCATAACCATGAAGGATATACGAATATACAACAAGCTATTGCTTTTAAGGTTATTCCTTTGTTCACAAAATATGCTTTTTGTGACTTAGTCCGAGAGCATCCAGACGTCCATAATTCTTCACTTTTTATTATCTTATAACTATCCTAACTCTAAATTTTATTACTCTAATTATATTACTATTTTTATAATAATTTTATTATTATTAAACTTTTAAAATTTTAAAAAAATCAAATAATTAACGTTTTTCACAGTGACAAAGCGTCCTTCCCTCCCCAGTGCTCCTAGAAATGCCCGCCCTGCCCCCCAGCGGCTTTTAGTGAAACAAAACGATCGAGCCTGAAGAATTCAGGAAGAAAAGAAGCAGCAAAGTTCAGCTCGGTTAGAGATTGAAAAAGCGACTTTTCCCATGTAAGAGGCAACCAGGAGCCGGGCCGCGCCCTGGGGGTGGCTCTGGGTCACAGCTGCTTCCAGGCATTCCCCGTGCTCCGGTTCTCCTTAACTCGCTCCGAGCAGCCGCCCCTCTCCTAGCCCTCGTCTAAAGGCTAAGGGTGAAACCCTTTCTGTGACACGACAAAAAGCAGCAGCCTCCCCTGGGGTGGAGGGTCATGTGCTTTTAAATGCAGGCACCAAACTGAAGGTCTCTCACGTTTATTAGTTGTCAAGAAACGTTGCTGGTTACGAGAGGAACATGAAGTTTGACAGTGTCTCCCCACGCTGGTGCTGCTGCCCCTCTGTTCTGCACACTGGGACTGGCCCTGCTGCACCTGGCAGAGGTTGATCCTTATTGTTCCTGTTGATATCAGTGTTAACATCCTGCTGCCTTGTGATTTGGGGTTCTGTTGTTCTGCTTTTCAGAGCAGAATCTATTATTAGAGCAAGAGCTGACTGGTGTCAACTTTTAATCAACAAACACGTGGCCAGAGCAGGTGCAGAAGGTGCTGCTCCAACAACTCCACCAGTGGCTCCAGCATCCAGTGCCTTTCTGAGCACTGCAAGAAACAAAAACGGGATGAAGAGGGCTCTGACGACTCACCCACAGCCCCATCACAGCACTGCCCCTTAGAATCAAGCTCTGCCCTTAGCAGAGAAGCCTCTCCCTCCTCAGCAGCAGCTTCAGCACTCTCCATCTCCAGCAGGCACGGTGGCATGTCCAGTGCCTGCTGGGCAGGGATGAAGGGCAGAGCCACACTTGGTGAGTCCCCCTGGGAAGAGACAGCCAAGTGGAGCCCAGCAACAGCCACAGGTCAGCAGGATCAACACCTCAACCAAAATTCCTGGTTATGGCAGAAGGGGAATGGGGGTGGTGCACTCTGTTGTGTGGAGGTGCACCCCAAACCTCCCTGGACGTGGCAGACCCAGATGAGCACCACGTGTGGGCAAGGCAGCATGAAAGGGAAATCTCAACCACCAAGAGCAGCAGAGTGCAGTCAAACAATCCCCTCCCTCCCCTCCCCTCCCCAAAAAGCAGCCTCTGGTTTCATCCCCCTGAAGTTTTCACCTGGTAAAATACACAGAGCATAGCTCAGGCTTCTGATCCAGCAATTGTGCAAAACATTATCCTTGCCCTTCCCAAACTGGATGAGCAGAATTTAAACTCATGAAGTGAACCATCACTTCTTATTCAATATAAACATGCCTGTCAGGTTTGAACCGGATCAAAAGCCAGCACAAAGCTTTTCCTTCCCCACATCCCATGTAATTATAGCTCAAAGCCCTTTCAGTCCTCATCCAGCTGCTGGCAGCACCATGATCAAACACTTCTAAACTGCATTTCTGGGCTTAAACTACCTAAGGTGGGAAGTGGCCGCAGCCACTCTGAACATGCAGGATTGACACACTGAACAAGGCCACAGGACAACCATTCAGTTCTCCAGAAATCAGAATAAGCTTCCCTAAAATAAAAAAAAATTAAATTACAACAGATTAAAAACACAAGTTAGGTGTCAAAACCGCCATCAGCTAATTCCAAACAGTCAGCTCAACTCCCGACTTGCTATCAGCCACTTGCTGTTTGGAGGATGAGAGATGGGGAACATTTTCCAAGAATATACAAAACAAGTATGTAGATCTACTCAAAACGCAGGAAATCAGGTCTGAAGTGGTTCCAGGTTACTCTTGTCTCACATCTTCTAGAAATAAAAGCAGGTAATTGGAGAACGTCATTTGTCTATTTTCTGCTTCCAGCTTCCCACAGCACAACTGCCACTAGAGACATCCCAGCAGAGGGTCCTGCTGCAGGCTGTGAGTCTCCTTGGAAGTTTGGCAAAGATGAAAATAATTTAAAGAGAATAAATTGGCTTTTTGCTTAAGCCAGTAAATCTTTAATTTAAATAAAAAGGAATTAATAACTTGCCAGGATGCATTCACACGCCTGGAATGGACTGTTCCAGGCAAAGTGCACTGCCAAAGGTCACAGTTTAAGCAAAACCAGCAGCAGACCGTTGCATGACACTCAAATCTAAAGAGGTGAAGTGCAGTTGCTTTTGCATCCGCCTTGTGCTGTGAAACCAGCCAGAGACGAAGGCACGGCAGCTGCGTCGCACCCCAGGCTCTCCCCTGCAAACTCAGATTCACAGGAAGGTTCTCCTCCACCAGCTGCCTCTACCAGTGCCTCGAGTCCACCAGCTCTGGGCGCAGGCTCAGCTTCTTCAGCGTTTCGTACCCCACCACGATGACGATGGTGGAAGGAGTGGCCGAAATGATGCGGGCAGAGAGGCCTTTGGTCAGCCCCCAGGGACCTTCCTCTGCAATGAGCTGCTTGAAGGTGAGAATGATGGAGCTCTTGCCTTCCACCTGCAATGCCAGAACAAACATTGAAAGAGCTGCCAGACTCCATACTGAGCTGCTCTGCGGCTCTGCTGCAGCTGAACACTGGAGACAACAGATCAGCCAGTCCAACAGCCTTGATCTGGTCTCCAGAACTCCCTGAGGAGGGCAGCAAAAAAAGCACCAAGTCCTAAGGAGGCAGCAGGAAGCAGCAGCTCTCCCTTTCTGAAGGGAAAGCCTGTGTGAGCAGGCCAGGCTGGCACTGCCAGCCTTGCTCCCTGGGCTCCTCTTGCTAATGCTGAGAGCAAATTAAGCATTAGCCAGGGAGAGCAAGGAAGCAGCTCACCTGAAACCAGAGATGAGAGCCCAGGCTGAACCCCGCCCTGCACTGTGGCCAGCAGCTGAGCTCTTACCTGGACCCGAGCCCTCACCACATCCATGGGGTTGGTGAGGGTGGAAGCTGTGGCAGCCGCAAGTGGCCCTGATATCGCTTGCAGAAGGAGGTGGGGACAGTCTTTAGGAGTCAAACTCGAAAGCTGTTCTGGGAACAGGAGAGAGAAGAAACTTTCAGGGGATGCTTATCATTTCCGTAACTCCACCCCCTAACTCCAGCTGATTTGCAGTGGGCAGAATCCCTGATTTACAGCCTGCCAGCTCCTCCCACAGAATCTCAAAGTGGTGCTTCCCACACCAACCAGGAGCTGGCACAGCACAGGGAGCAGGACTCATCACACTGGTGGCTCCAGGACACTCCCCATGCCTTGTCCCACAGCCTCCCATCAGCTGCCACTCTGGCTCCCAGGCCAGTGGGGCAAATTGGACAGAATAAGCTTCCACATCCCCAAAACAGAGCACGAAAATACCCACCCTCTTTAGAAGGTGGAGGAAGCCTTAAGACAAGGCTTCGTTGGAAGGTGTCTGCAGAGATCTGTACAGAAAGCTGTCACTCACTACTGGGCACTGTCTAGGAGATACCCTGGTATCCCACTGTGGATCCCTAAGGAGAAAAGCACCATGTAGTGCTCATCCCAGATCTCCTCACTCTGCTCCTGCTGCCTGGCCAATAGGATTTGAATCTCCCAAACTTTTATTGGTTAAAGTTGGAGAGAAGAGTGTTCAAAGCCCCATGTTTTGGATGATGAGGAAGCCTGTCTGGCAGGAGGGAAGGAAGAAGCTCTGTTTGAGACCTTGAACACTGTCTGGAATCAGGGCCAGCAGTGTCCTTTGAACCCAAGGAGGGTTCAGTGACGCTGCTGCTGCTCCAGGATCAGAGGACTGGGAAATGCAGCCAAAGGAGATTCATTGACAGCTGGGGCTTGTTTCCCATCATTTCAATGTCCACTGAGAAGACAGGGAAAGAGCAAACACCTGAAAGCTGAGAGCTCTGGTCTTTCCATATCAACTGCCTTTTCTTACATGCCCTCCTTTGAGCCCTTTTGGTATGAAAATCTTACAGTTTGTACACCGGGTTTTGGTCTTATAAACTGTTGACATGGAGACTGATGGGAGCACCCCCACAAAGTACAGACCAACATGCCAAGCTGCCACTGCCATTTAAATGCAGCACCAATGCTTCCTCTAGCTCCCAGAACTCTGGAAGGTACACAGGACCTTTGAGACATCTGGATTTTGAAGAACAGGTGCATCTTGATCTCCAAGATGTACTTTAGGCCCAGTACAGCAAAACCCAAACTGCTCATTACCACCACCTTTTAGCAGAAATTAGGTAACTAGATGCCTAAAAACCATGTGCAAAGCTGCACAGCAGAAATCTAAAGGATCATCAGAGGTGGAAGTAAACCTTAGCTGGCCAACACCTTTAGCCTTTGGAACACCCCAAGGAGTGTGAGAACTGAGCTAGGGAGAAAGAACTTTCTACTGAGTGCAGTTTTCCATCACAAGACTCAGCGCCAATTTTAAAGTTACCAAAACTGAAGCAACACCTGACAGAAATCCAGGGAAGATCTGGCCCTTGTCTCTGCCTGTTGGTTTTGCCATGAGATTTGTGGCTCTAAAAGTCCCTTTGCCATATATGAGATGCCTGAGTTCACATGAACTGAAAGATGAACTATACTTACATGGTGGCTCCAAAACTCTGCCTTCCTCACTCCCGTGGAGAAGGCACTATTTGGGATTAGCGGAAGAGAAAGTTAAAGCAGATGCTTGAAGGCCCACTTGCCTGGAGCCATCCAGTTTGAAGTCCTACAGCACTTGGACCCCTTGTTCTGCATTGAAACACTGCTGTCTGTTAAACTTCCACCCAGCATCTGCAGAATTCCCACACAACCAGATGTAGCTGCTTAGTTCAGGACGGATTCTGCTCCCACCCCCAGAGAGAAAGCAAATCACGCTGAATCCACAGTGTCAAGAGTCCATCCGAGGGGCTTCTGGCTCTCCTGGGATAAGAGACATTTCAAGCCTCCTTTCACTTACCAGCATAGAAGTGGTAGAAGGGCCACCAGACCGCACTGTTGGGAATATAAGTGAGCAGCGAGGCCACATAACCCCTGTAGAAGCCTCTAAAACCGTCAGCCTTGAAAATCTGTACAATGATGTCCTTGGTTTGGCCAAAGACCAGCAGACGCTTGCCATCCTGGTTCTGCACCTTGAACCTGCCCATGCTTTCCCCCTTCCTCTGCATCATGAGGTGCTGGGAGATGACATCGATGGGCACCGTGATGCTCTGGGCCACCAGGGAGGCCGAGCCACCGGCCACCAGGGACTTGACAGCGTTGTTGTTGTTGTACCGCGACACGTACTTCCGAGTGAGCTCGTATGTGGTCACGTAGCACTGCCCTGAGATCAGGGTGAAGGTGTTGACCAAGAAGCCACGGTAGAGCCCGGCCGCCCCTTCTGTCCGCAGGATTTTCACAAAGGCATCAAAAGTCCCGTTGTAGAGGCTCTTGCCCTTCTGAACCTGCAGCCGCGTGCGGATGAGCGTGAAGGGGTAAACGCTCACCCGGATCATCATAGTCATGCAAATCCCAAACACGTAGAATTTCCTTTTGTCCAAGTGCTCCCACTCGATGATGGGGATGTTCCGTTTGTCCTCCATGGCTCCCTGGGCTCAGGCAGGAGGGGTCCAGATCTCCCTCAAAGGTACAGAGCAGATCCAGGCCCAGCCTTCCAGCCTTGACCAAGCAGACTGCAAGTGCTGGCACCTGAAATGAGAGACCCCTTGGGTAGAGGACAAAGCCCCGCTCGCTACAACCGCCCACATCACCTCCAGCTCGGCTGACTCTCCTGGGGCACACAGCAAGCCCTTGCACAGCATCGTGCCAGCCCAGCAGAGGGACTGTAACCTCCAGAGGCAGGGCCCTACCGTGTGGCTGATGGTGACACCTTCTGATGTTACTGAGGCTGTTTTCTGAGCTCCAGCAGCAGCTCTCACCACAGCCCAGACTGCTCTGTGGAAAAGCAAAGCTCCCATGCCTTCGGAAGCAGATGAGCACCACTCCAGCAGCACACACACCTTTTAAAGGACACGCAAGATCAGGGATGGCCAACCAAAGCAGCTTCTCCCCAGTCATTCCAAGCCCGTGATGCTCCCAGGTGTCAGGACGTCACTTTTCAATTCCAGGATCTGTACAAAGAAGAAAGTGACAAATCCTTTTGTGTTCCTAGATTCCCTGCGTGAATTAGACCCATTTCTTTGGGCACTTCCATTCTTATCTTCCTAAAGCTGGAGGGTGATGAGAAGGTGAAAAGAACAACAATGGGAAAACAAGGCAAGACAGCCACGTAGAGTCTCCACACTGATAACCAAGATCCTGAAAAGAAGGGGTTAAATGACAGCCTGGGATGTCTCTGTTGAGCTGCTTGTCAGCTACATGAGCAAAGTTCACCCTCCCTTCCAACACTCCTGATCTGATAACCTTCCTTCCACTGCTGGCTGTGCTCAGAGCACCAGGAATGGGGAAGAGGAGGAGGGAGGGGTGGTTCAGCCTCCTCCAGCCCCAGGTGCTGCAGCTCATCACCAGGTCCCAGCAGGCACTACCTGCTTCTCCACAACCAGGCTCCTGGTACTTTCAGCTGCTGTAATTAGTAAATTAACTTTCTGAGTGATTAGCCAAGCTTGGGCTAAGGGAACCTACACACAAGGCCAGGCAGCAGGAGAAGCACAGCTCAGATAATCACCCAAAACAACATGGACCAGTTCACTGCTGGTAAGGACTTACTTTCACATCAAATTAAAAAAAAAAAAAACTGGGGTGTTTGGGTGGCTGAACTTTTGGGAAAGGCTTGACTGCAGCTGGATCATAACTTGTATTCCAGGCACTGGAAGTGTGTGCCAAGGCACGAGTTGAATTGCTGGAGAGCAGAGCTAGAGCAAGAAGCAGGAACAGGAACAAGGGAGCCAAAAACCTTGATCTGAAAACAGATTCACCAGGTGAGAACTCAAAGGGATGGGCAGTCACCACCACACACTGATTTGGGGGCACTTTACATTACCAAGCCATAACATCAGTGCCTAAAGGAGCTCCAAGGGAGAGGCACTTGGGACAAGAGCCTGGAGTGACAGGACAGATGGAATGGCTTCCCACTGACTAAGAGCAGGGTTAGATGGGATATTGGGAAGGAATTGTTCCTTGTCAGGGTGGGCAGGCCCTGGCACAGGGTGCCCAGAGCAGCAGTGGCTGCCCCTGGATCCCTGGAAGTGTCCAAGGTCAGGCTGGATGGGGCTTGGAGCAGCCTGGGACAGTCGAAGGTGTCTCTGCCACGGCAGGGGTGGGATGAGATGGGCTTCAAGGTCCCTTCCAACCCAAACCAGCCTGGGACTCTTAGGGAAATGTCTCAACACTTCAGAATTCATGAAGAACTCACACAGGCCAGAGACATTCTGTTAGAAACACAGTAACAACTGGAAGTTGTTTACCTCTGGCACAGAGAAGAAGTTACAGTTATGAAATGAAGGCAGATCAGGGTGGGTGTCCTCTTAAGTGACCATTTCAATGCCAGTTGGCCAACAAAATATTTGCTGAACAGGGGCAAATGGCATTTCAGGCTACCACAGCTCCTGCAGATGGACAGGGGAATTAAAAACACCCCCAAAAACCACCTTTTTACCATTGTAAAGAGAGCTACACTTCACCCTGCCAGCCAATTGCCTTGGCAGTTAAGGCACAACAAACACCCCAGCCTGGCTAAGGAAAGCCTGGATTGCTTTCGTTACAATTACAGCCTTACTGGGTTTGCTAATATTGACATGATTTGACACACAAAGCTTCCTGCACAGGAGTTATCTGTGCATAGCATCTATGAAAACACAGCTCAGTTCTTGCTAAGAGTCCCACTAGCTTAATATTTCATTTAAAAATTAAAATAGAGTCTAGCCAATATGATTCCCTGGTGAAGCCTGAGGGTTTAGTCCATACTCCAAATTCGTCTGCCACCCAGAGATGGAATTGAGCTCCCCACAAAGGAAAGGGAAGGGCTGCCTGCAAAAAACATTCTTATTACTGCAATGGAAAACAAAACAACAACAACAATAATAATTCCTTGATCTTTATTTAGTTTTATGTGCTCTAGTGCTTTGGGTTTAGAATTTCAGCCACAACTTCTTGAGGAAACAACTATACTTCCTCTGGACTCTCACCAATAACTCCTCTCATTCAGGATCCGAATTGGACAAAGCCACTTTGACCCCATGGCTCTGAGGCACTCCAAGTCCCTCCTGTGTGGAAGAAGGAAGGGATCCTGGCAGCTCCAGGGATGCTGCAGCTCCAGCATGGCTGCAATTCTTACGCTGCCAACACAAAGAGTTTTGCTCAGAGCATTTAATCTTCCAGAAATTTAGATCATGGCCTTGCTTAGGGCAGGGATCCCATCACACTTATTAAGCAACTCTTTGATGATCTTCCAAGGAATTTTAGGGAGACTGATATAAAAGTAATCCATCTACATCTCCTAAGAATTGACCTGCCCTCCAAAACAAGGTACAAGCACACCACAGCTCACACATCCTTAAACTCTGGAGCAGCTTCCTGCCAAAAGCACCCCTCAGTGGTTCATTCCCACCATGCACAAAACAGCATTTCTTGAACTTCTGCCTGGAAATCCAAGCAGGCGGTACCGAGCAGGGCGTCCCTGCTCCTGCTCTCTCATCTGGGCACAGCCTCAGTCTCCTACACACAGAACTCGGTATAAACCCCCCAGTTCATGCCCTTTAATGCCACCCTGTCCGTCTGGTCCCCAAACCACTCGCTGCTGCAGCTGGAGCTAAAGATGATTCTCTGGCAAACACAGACAGGGCCTTTGTGTGCCCCGGGCAGGGACGTGCCCTGCCCAGCATGCTAATGCCTGAGCACCGGCCTGGGAACCATCTGCAGTCAGCCCCAGGCTGCTTGGCACCTCCTCCAGCACAGAATCACACAACAGCCTGAGCTGGACAGGGCCCAGCAGGGGCCAGCTCTGGAGTGAATGTGAATGGCCCATCCGGGATGGAACCTTGACCTTGGTGTTAAAGGCACCGCGAGCAGGTCACCGAGCTCAGCTAACGCCACCTCCACCTCACTGAGGTGAGCTAACACCACCTCCACCTCACTGAGGTGAGCTAACACCACACCCACCTCACCGAGCTCAGCTAACACCACATCCACCTCACTGAGGTGAGCTAGCACCACAGCCATCCCACCGAGCTCCACATTCACCTCACCGAGCTCAGCTAACACCACATCCACCTCACCGAGCTCCACATCCACCTCACCGAGCTCAGCTAACACCACATCATCCCACTGAGCTCCACATCCGTCCCACGGAGCTCCAATCCATCCCACCGAGCTCAGCTAACACCACATCCATCCCACCGAGCTCCACATCCATCCCACCGAGCTCAGCTAACGCCACATCCAGCTCACTCACACCGAGCTGAGCTAACGCACACTTCGCTCCTCAAACCCAACCCGCGGAGGGACAGAACCCGAACCCGGCACAGGAGGGAGTGCTGCTCTAACCCAGCCCCTGGCAGCCCCGGGGACAGCCGTGCTCCGCCGTGGCAGCCCCGGGGACAGCCGTGTTCCGCCGTGGCAGCGCCTCTCCGATGGCAGCACCGTGCTCGCCCCGCGGGCAGAGCCCCCCGCTCCCACCGCCGGCCGCAGCAGCTCGGCCGCGCTCGGGGGCACCGAACGGCGGCACGGCTCGGTCCGCTCAAGGTCACTGCCGGGCCAGGCGCGTCCCCAGCCCCGCGGCTCCGTGTGCCGGGGCTGTCCTCGCTGTCCCCAGGCCAGCGGTACCCCCGGGGGGCTCTGGCTCCCCAGCCACCCGGGCAGCCTCCGGGCTCTGCCCCGAGGAGGGTCCCCGGACCCTGCAGCTCCTTTCCCCGCGGGGCTCAAGCCCTGTCCCGCCTGCCCCTCGCCGAGCGGCTCCGGGCCCTTCCCCTGTGCCCCGGGCCCTCCGGCCCGTCCTCCCGGGTCCTTCGAGGGGTCTCACACCAACCCCGTACCCGATCCCGCCTCACGCGCGCCCCTCGCCAGCCGCCCCCTCTCCCCCCCTGCCGCCCTCCCGTCCAGCCGCGCAGCTCCACACCTGCCCGGGCCCCGCTCAGCCGCCGCCGCCGCCCGCACCGGCGCCGGGCCGCCACCGTCGGGCCGTGCCGCACCGCTGCGGGCCCAGGCCAGGCCTGTCCCCGGCCCCGGCCCCGGCAGCCCCTCACCTCACGGCGGCGGGAGGGAGCCCCGAGAGCCGCCGGCCGGGCCGGCCCCGCCGCGCCATGGCCGCTCCCCGCCGGAAGTGACCGGCGGCGTCAGCGCCCGGGCGCCGCCGCCATCTTGGCACCGGGCAGAGGTCGCACCGGAAGTGCCCGCTCGCTTCCGGTCTGCAGTAAAGAGGGTGGCTGGGGGCGCGCGCGCGCCTTAAAGGGACCGCGCCGAATTACGGCTCTTAAAGGGCCAGTGGCCCTCAGCGCTGCGTGCGGGTTCTGCGCGCTGGAGGGGCCGGGGCGAGGCCAGAAAACAGCACGGATGGACCCACGGGAGGGAGTGATGGGCGGGTGTGAGAGAGCTGTCACACTCCCGGCACTCTGTGCCCCTCGCTGCGCATACACCCTGCACAGGAATGCGTGTCCCTGCAGGCCCACGTGTGTCCCTGCACACTCACACGTGTCCCTGCACACCCACGTGTGTCCCTGCACACCCACCCGTGTCCTTGCACACCCAAGTGTGTCCTGGCAGGCCCACATGTGTCCCTGCACGCCCACGTGTGTCCCTGCACGCCCATGTGTGTCCTTGCACACTCACCCGTGTCCCTGCACACCCATGTGTGTCCCTGCACACTCACCCGTGTCCCTGCACACCCACCCATGTCCCTGCACACCCACCCATGTCCTTGCACACTCACACGTGTCCCTTCATGCCCACCCATGTCCCTGCACACCCACGTGTGTCCCTGCACGCTCACGTGTGTCCCTGCACACTCACACATGTCCCTGCACACCTACCCGTGTTCTTGCACACCCACGTGTGTCCCTGCACACCCACGTGTGTCCCTGCACACCCACGTATGTCCCTGCACACCCACCCGTGTCCTTGCACACCCACTCGTGTCCTTGCACATCCATGTGTGTCCCTGCATGCCCACGTGTGTCCCTGCAGGCCCACGTGTGTTCCTGCACACCCACCCATGTCCCTGCACGCCCACGTGTGCACACGTGTTCCCCTGTCCTGGGCCTCGCCAGAGTCCCAGCAGTGCGAGGCGTTGATTTTTCCTTTTTTAATAAAAAAGCAGGGAGCAGGGAAATGTACAGCTGCTTTGGCTTCCAGAGGCAGCTCCAAGGCGTGGGACGTGGGCGGGGGGGACAGCCAGGGACCAGGGGGGCTCTGCCACTCGGGGGACCCCGGGATCGGGGGCGCGCAGCACCGAGGGGCAGTGGCAGTGCTGGGTGGGTGCCCACGGGCCTGGCTGACGGAGCCCACTGCCCCACGGTGAGGTTTTTATGGCACCTGGTTTGTTCCCTGGGGTAACACTGGTGTCAGCATCCACCATTTCCAGCCGTCCCCACCCCACGGGGACATTTCTCCTCTGTGCCACATCCTTGGCCTGTCCCTGTGACCTTCCTTCACCCTCCACTCTCTCCCCGTGCCACTCCCTTGCCCCCTCCCATCTTCTCCCACCCCACGCCCGCTGCTCCCGGGGCCCATTCCACCCTCAGCCCCAGAATGGGAGCCTTAGGTTAAAACAGGTGTATTAAATAAAACAAAACCAAAAACCCTTTCACATTCACACCCCTCCCCGCACCCCCCTCCCCAGGGTCTCCCTGACCCGCTGGCAGCGTCACGCTCTGTCCCCTGCTGGCACGTGGAGCCGGTTGTTGTCGACGTCGATGTCCCCATCAAGCTGAAGGCAGCAAGCCTGCGAGCCTTCATCCTCCTCCTCTTCCTCCGTGGCAGCTCCCGGTGCTGGGGGCTCCCTGGTGCCCCCGTTGAGGGGCACCTTCTCCCGGGGGCGGGCCGGGGGGCTGTGGGGCGTGCTGCAGCCCCGCACCTTGCTGCGGGCCCTGAGCTGGTCGCGGTAGGTGAGGAGGGCCAGGCAGGCGGCCGCGGTCAGCGTCACGGCCAGCAGCACCGTCACCGTGACGAACTCCAGCCAGTACGACCGGGGGGTGCCCCCGTCCGGCCCGTCCCCGCCCGAGTCCCGGAGCTGGTACTGCGCCACGGTCCAGGTGTAGCCGTTCTCTGTGGCCTGGCACTTGTAGGTGCCGGCCATTCCCTGCTGCATGATGACCACCAGCGTGTGGTCGGGCTGCAGCACCGTGTGGCCCTGGGCACCGCTGGGCTGCTGCCAGCTGTAGGTGGCCAGTGCAGAGTGGCGGGGGCACGGCAGGGGGACCACGGCGTTCAGCCGGGGGCTGAGCCCTGTGGGTGTGGAGCACAGGGTGATGTGGTGCACCCCATGTGCCCCGTCCCACCCCGTGTACCCCATCCCGCTGTGCTCCCATACTCAACCCTGTACAGCGGGGTCCTCCGGTGCCCCCCAGGATCGGGGCATGGCTGCGCTCCTCCCACGGTGGCACACGGTGCCCGGGTTCCCTGTCTCAACGTCCTGCAGCCACGCGCTCCTGCGGCCGGGAGAGCGGGGTCAGCATCCCAGTGACCTCCACACCCCCTCCCGCTCTCAGCTGCTGCTCACTTGCTCTCGGAGGCAAGGTGGGCGGGCCGGCAGGAGCCCTCGGGGCTGTGCCAGGCGCAGTAGGGGTCCCGTGCCAGCACGCACTCGGCGCAGCTCTGGTGCAGGCTGCAGTTGGCCAGCGGGACCTGCAGGACGCCTCTGGAGTAGCCCACATAGAGGATGCCCTGGGGAGGGAGCGGTGCAGGGCTGAGCCTCCCCTCGGCCCCGGTGCTGGCACTGGATGGCTGCTGGGTGTCTGGTGGTCACACCTGCCCTACCTTCCCTGGCGCCAGCAGCAGGTTCTTCACTGGCTCTGGCCTTGCAAAGAGCTGGATGCTCTCCACGATGTGGGCACCCCCAGACAGCTCCACTGCCTTGTGCAGGAGACCGTCGGCTGTGGGGCACAGGGGACACCGCTGAGGCTTTGGAGCCACGGGGAGGGTCAGATGGGTGATCCTGTGTGCCCCCCCATCACCCCACCTGTGGCCAGGAACATGACACGATACGTGGTCCCCGACACGCCGCGGGTCTCGTGCACCGTGATGCGCGTGTAGGTGACATCCGACTTCACCAGGAGAGGCTGCCCCCGCATGGGGGACACCTTCCCGTCCATCAGGAAATGGTCCTTCATGAAGGAGAGGGCTTTGTCCGAGGAGGCACCCATGGAGCACTGTGTGGGGAGAGAGGGGTCTGTGCTGGTGTGGGAAACTGAGGCATGGGAGGGGAGGATGTGCTGCATCACCATGCTGCCCTGGCCAGCATCAGTGGGGTGCAGAGGGACCCTTCTCCTTTCTCAGGCCGCCTGCAGTGCGAGCACGCGGGGCAAACGGGGATAGACAGACCCCATCTCTTGGGGACCAGCGTTGTCCCCTGGAAAGTCCAGTCCCCCTGAGTGGGCACACTCACACTGCCAGGCCGGGGACTCATGTCAGGGCCACTGTAGACGGTCCAGCGAGAGCTCTCCTTGTTCAGCTCCTTGTACTTGCCCTCGAAGACCTTCTCCAGATCCTCCTGTCTGTAGGCACAGACGGCGCTGCCCGCCCTGCCCGCCTGCCTATAGGGAGGGACAGCCAGGTGGGCAGAGGCAGGGGACAGGCCCCTGGACCTCCTCCACACCCCTGGGCACTCACCACTGCGAGGTGAACACTGCGTAGAAGTCGGCACGGCCGTCGTGGCGGAGCAGGGCAAAGGCGTGGTGGATGACGTTGAAGGGGAAGTGGCCGGTCTGGGAGCACACCAGCTGTGCCTTCAGGAAAGTTGTCCACTTCTTCTGCAGCAACTTTTCCCCCCCTACATCGCTCTGTGGGAGTCAGAGGGTGCTCATCACCAAGGTGACAAGACCTCTTTGTCCCCTGCCATAAAGGAGGGGACATCCCCTTCCATTGTTGCTGATCACAGTACAACTATCATACCCATTATTGTCTCCCATCATTGTCCCCGTCCCATTGTCTCCATCATCATCATCATCATCCTCCATCGCTGTACCCCCACTGAAGCCCACCATCATTCCCTGCTGTCACACCTTGCAGACACGGGCCACCCGTGGCACCAGGAGCTTCTCAAAGAAGTCGAACTCGTCCGCTGTCTCCTCGAAGAAGAAGTAGACCTTGTCGTCCTCAGGTATGCTGAAGGAGGCCACGAAGGCGGCGTCGGCTACAGGCACAGGTGGGTGAGAAGCTGGAGCCGTGGGGGGCTGCAGGCACCTCCCCAGGAGTCCTGCCCAGGAGCTTCCCTCTGCTCACCCGAGAGCCAGCGGAGGAAGGCGTCGGTCTTGAGCAGGGTGCGGGTGCCCAGCGAGCGGGAGATGATGGGCTCGTTGCCCTGGAAGTTGTTCATGGTGCCAGCATAGAGCTCCCCATCTGCCCAGGGACACAGTGGGGGCTGAGCCGCGGTGAGGACCCCCCACCCTCGCCCTCCACTCCATCCCAGGGATGGGAGCCCACCTGCAAAGTCACTGGCACCATACTCACCCACCAGCAGGGCCGTGTAAGTGTGCTGGGGATCGAAGGGGCACTGGCCCTTCCCATCCAGGAAGGGCTGTCCTCTGCCACTGGGCACCAGTGTGAAGTTTTCCAGGTGCTGTAGAAAACGGGAGAAAAATCAGCCAAAGGACTGGAAACAATGCCAAATCTGTAGGGAATGACTGTGGAATACCTTGCAGACATAGGGTGTCCCATGTCTTCAAGGTGGGTGCGGGGATGATGACAGGGGCTGATGGCAGAGGATGCTGTGGGTACCCAGCTCCTCTCACCTTTCCTCATTTTCATTCTGGGGAGTGGCAGTCCCCACCACGTGCTCAGCATGGAGGAAACTGAGGCAGGGACAGAGAGCCTGGAGCCACCTGAGGGGACCCAAAACTGGGGTTTCCCTGCCAGAGGAAGAGTTGCTGGCAGCTGAGTGAGAATCACCAAGGGCTCCTTGGGGGGGACACCCAGCACCCACATCCTGGGGACCCCCATGATGCAACTCACTTCTGGGCCCGTATTTTTGGGTCCTCACAACAACACTACAGCCTGCCCAGTGACCCCAGTGGCCTGCCCTGGGGAGGACACTCACAATGTAGGTGCACGCGGGGCTGAAGGCGTAGGTCCCACAGACGTAGAGGTGGGTCTGGTTCAGGGCCACCAGGACTCGGATGAAGTTGAAGCACTCAGTCTGAGGGGCAAAGAGCAGAACTGGGTGATGAGCACCCCAGTAGCTTTGTGGGATCCCTGAGCCCCCACAGGGCCATCTCACCTCTTGGCTCTTCTTCTTAAAAGCACATTCAGAGGTTTTCTCATCTGTGGCTCCCCACATTATCTGCAAAGGAAATGAAGATGTCCCTGGGCTGTTGAGTCCAGTCCCACAGGGAAACTGAAACACAGCAGAGGCACCTCCCTCTCCCACCTCCCCAGAAGTGGTGGCTGCTCACCGAGGCTTTGGCACGGATGCTGCCAGGGGTGCCAACAGTGAGGGCCAGCACCCAGTCTCGTGCCCCCACGTACAGCTCCTCCTCACTCTCATCCAGGAGGAAGATGTCGTAATGGGAGATGTTGTTCTGGCTGAAGTGGGTGAGGGTCCGCCGGGGGTCCCCTGGCAGGAGCAGAGGGGTGAGGGAGGCCGGGGGTCACACACACCCCACCACCATCATTGGCGTGCGGATGTGGCAGCAGCTGCCATTGAGGCTCATCCCACACAGGAAATGGGGTGCAGTTCTTCCCCTTCAGCACCCACATCACCATCACCCCTTCACCCTCCAGGTTCCCCCCTCCCACTGTCCCCTCCAGCTCCTACTGCAAGAGCTGAGCATCCCCAAGCTGCAGACCTCCAGAAATGGGGGACATTTCCCCCCCAAGCTGTGCCTGTGATGCTTTGGTACCATGGCCAAGGGTAGTGCTCTGTTTGGGGGATGCACTGCCCCAGGGTGCCACCTTGGAGGGATTTCAAGCCCCAGGGTGCCAGGCTGGGGGGCATCACCAGCCCCCAGGGTGCCCTCAGGCACAGCCAGGGACTGCAGGTTCTCATTCATCCCCAGCAAACACCAAAACCAGAGGGTTTTTGCAATTTTGGGCACGGCTGCGTGGGGAAAAGGAAGTGACAGTGCAGTCAGGGCTGGAAAGGCTTGACCCTGCCATGGCACACAGACCCTCTTGCAGCCTGATTGCCACATCACAGCCCCTCCAATCTCCTGCTTTGCCTTCCAGCTGGACATGCCGTGCCCTGTCCCTTCCAGAGGCAGCTTTTCGTCCCCCCAGGGTGACCGTGAGCAGACCCTGGGTGCCAGCAGGGTGACAAAATCACTGTAGGATCTGGCCCATTGGGTGCTGGGGTGCCAAGCAGCCTCATCTACTCTCGTCCCCCATCACATCCCCCGCGGGCACTGGCGCTGTCTCCAGCCCCACGGGAGGGTCAGTGATGGGGCGGGCTGGGGATATGATGGGGAGCACGCCAAGGTTCCTGCTGCCGGATGCTCAGCCCTGGGGATGGCCGCCCTCCCAGCAGAGGCTGTGTACCCCCCTCCCGCGCTGTCCCAGCCCTTCCCGGGGCCGTACTCACCGCTGGGGAAGGTGACGCGGGGCAGGGGCTCTGCGCAGAGCAGGGCAGCCGGCACCACCACCCCGCAGAGCAGGCGGAGGGCGGCGGGCATGGCGGGGGGCGGCAGGGATGCGCCCCAGGAGGGTCCCACCACCATCCCTGCGGAGAGGCCGAGGGTGAGGGCACACGCTGCCGGGCTGCGTGTCACTGCACCCGGCGGAAACGAGACGGGGAAGCAGCACCCGGCAAGGAGGTGGGGGATGGGGGGCCCTCAGCACCTCGAGCCCCACTGACCCCCCCAGTTTGGGCACGAACTTCCCACTGCTGCATCGGCACTCAGAGATGTCCCCTCGCCCTGCGGGGCTCCTGCCCACAGTCTCTGGCACAGTCAGAGGTTTCCCCTTGTTTCACCCTCACCCTCTGGGCTCCTGCACGGGACCTCGGCACAGTGTGCAGAGGCTTTGGCCCAAGAGCCTCAGAGCCCATCCCCACCAGGGATTCCTCTGTTCGCTCCACCAGTTATCAGAGCGTCCACAAAATGGGGGGAACACGCACGGGAAGCCCCTTCCTGCAGCTCTTTCTGCAGCTGATGCCAGCAGCCCTGGGGGAAGAGCCCCGTCTGCAGAACCTCACGGTCCCCAGGCCCCTTTGCTGCTGGCCACCGTGTCCCCAGCGGGCGGCATTACCTCTCTGGCGGGCGAGGACCGGGCCGCTCACCTCCCCCGCTGGAGCACGGGCACCAGGCAGGCGCCCGAGCCGCGGGGGCTGCGGCCACGCGTCTCCCGTGGGCCCATGTCCCGATCGGCAGCCGCGGCCGGGCTCGTGCGGGGCTCGCTGCAGCCCGGCCCAGCCCAGCCCTGCCTGGCTCCGCCGGGACTGCGGGAACCTGAAAGTCCTGCTGGAAGAGGACGAGCCCCGGCAGGTTGGGGCAGTGGGTGCCTGCGCCCGCCTCCCCTGCCTCGCACCCCCGCAGGGACAGCAGCGAAGCCTGGCGGAGGCAGCTGGCATGGGAACCAGGGAGCTCTGCTCCTCCAAGGGGCGACGTGGGGGACAAAGGTGTGCCCAGATGCCTGGCTTTGCTTGCTGGGGAAATCTTTGGGGTGAGGGACACAATGGCATTTTTCCTGTGGATTCTATGGGCCAACGGCAGGCCTGAGTATCATCCCCAAAACCAGCCCCAGGGGGGCAGGCATCACCCAAAAAACCAGCCCCCCAGGGCAGAGCATGGCTCCCCACAAACAGCCCCACGGGGCACCCCCACAAAGCTCCTGCAGCTGTTCCAGGAACCCATTTACCTGGAGAGTCCATCCTTAACCCCAGGCTGCTCTGGGATGGCTGTAGGCAAGAAACCCCCCAAAGCCAAAGCCCTGGAGTTCCTCAACATGAGAGCCATACCTGAGGTACCCCAATATCCCTCTGGACAAGGCTGAGGAGCATCCCACCCTGCTGGGGCCTCCTTACCTGCCTCTCCCATCCCCAGAGCAGCCCAGCGGGACATGGAGCCCCGGGAGGGCAGCGCTGTGCTCACCACCTTGCTTGGCTGGGACAGAAGCTCCTTGTGAGCACAGAAAGTAGGTTACTCTGCCCCGGATTTCCCACTTGGCAAAGGGCTGCCTGGGGGACGGGGCCGCACGGAGCCTTGGACCGGCCGCATTGTTCTGCCCTGGGCCATAGCCACCGAGGCCGCGGAGGGGGAGGCGGGATAGAAACGGGAGCAGAGGCTCCTCGGTGAGGCTGAAGGCTTGACTGGGGCTGTGGTGGGGCTGAGGAAAACCGCCAGCGTGAGCCAGGGCTGACACAGGATGTGAGGTGACAGCAGCCTCACGGCTGCTCTGACAGCGTGGGAAGGCAGAATCCCTTCTCAGCCTGGTCTCTCCTCTTTTTTGGGTCCCCTGGTCACAGTGCTCTGGGGACATGGTGGGGGGAATGTAATTTACAGCCTCCCTATATAAGATTTGGAACATGGGAGGGAGTCCCACCGAGGGTCTCAACACTGCGGTGGGTCAGGTTTCCCTGGTGCTTTCGGGTTGACCACAGCTGTGGCTTCATGGGTGTTGCTCCTGCTTGGGTCTCCTCCTGGAGGATTCCCTCTAAGCCAGGGAATATTGTGCTGTCAATGAACACGCACACTCCCTGCAAAGAGCACATCACCTGCCACAGGATGGAGCCAGGCCCAGCCCTTGCAAGGTGAGCAGGGGAGTGTGGAGCTGGTGGCACTGATCTGCCAGCTGCTCAGACATTCCCCGTGCCTCAATTTCCCACCGCAGAGAAGAGTTTGGTCCTTCTCTGCAGCTGGACTCCAGTCCCCTGCCCACGTCACATCCAGGAGCAGCCCTGTGGTGTGGGGGGTGCAGGAATGCTCCCAGCTCCCAAGGGGGGCTGGGGGAAGCCCCGAGATCCAGAGCAGGGTGTGTGTGTGGGAGACGGGAGGCAAGGGAGGAGGGGGGTTGTACTGAAGGCATGGGAGGATGAAGGGGAGGAACTGGGGGGTGTACGCAAGAGGAAATGGGAGACGATTGTGTCGATGGGGTTGTTCGATAGGAAGGGTGGGGAGAGCCGGGGGGGGGTGCAGGTAAGAGAGAGGAGGATGCACAGGAGGGAGCTGAGGGGTGCAGGAGGTGTGGAGGGGTGCCCAGGAGATAGGGGAAAGGGAGGAATGTGAAGGCAGGGAGTGCGGGGGGTACCGGGGGGTCCCGGGGGTCTCCCCAGGGCCGGCACCTCAGCCTCTTTGTTGCTGGCTGGCAGCATCAGCGCTGGGGGTCCCCCAAGCCCAACCCCACTATGGCGACGTCCCCCTTCCCGCTCGACCTGCCGCCCCCTCGGAGCCTCCCCCGACCCCCTCGGGCCCCCCGGCCGCCCCCGGCCCCGGTCGCGGAGCGGCGGTACCGACCTGCGGCGGGCGGGCGGGAGCAGCATCCCCCGGCCCCGCATCCGGCTCACGTCGCCATGGCTACGGCTGCATCTCGGCCCCCCCCCCGCACCGCAGACCCTGGCGGACGGGCACGGGGCTGCGCACCCCGAGACCCCCGCACCGGGACACGAGCGGGCGCTGCCTCCCCTCACCCCACGCACCACGGACCCCCACCCCCGGGAGGAGCAGGGACACCCCTCTGCCCCACGTGTGTTGCATCCAGCCCCTCTCCTGACACGTTCTGTGCCCCCATAGCTACACTGGGGCCCTTCACCTTCACCCCACTTGTGCTCTCAGCTTTTGGCAACAACTCCCTGCACCTCCATCTCAACACCTCCAGATCCAGACCCTATCCCTGCATCCCATCCCACACCCCATCCCTGTGTCCCCATTCCTGTCTCAGCCCTCCCAGTTGACCATCCCAGATGAGTGCTCCTGGCTCTGGTTTCCTATGCTATGTGGATTTGGGGGGTCTCAGGAGGAGGCTTAGGGTGCAGCCGTGGTAGCAGGCTGTATGTGTGTCCCTCTCCCCAGTGCAGCTTTCAGAATTTTGGTTTATGGCATTTCCTCCTTGGAGTTTCCCTTGACAGAAAGTCTGGCCTAGCTGGTGACTGCAGACCTCACTTCTCCTGTGGAACTTGCTCCCTTCCTCTTCCCAACTGTGTGAGAACCCCATGAGCCCCAAAACAGGATCTGCAGCCGCTACTTCCTCCCCACTCTGCAACCACCTTCCCTGCATGGCCTCAGCCTTGCTGGAGAGGTGCCAGCACTGTGCCAGCTGGGGTGCAGCATCAGCACCCCCAAAAGCAGGCCCTTTGCTGGGGTACTGGCTCTGCAGGGCTGGAGAGCAGAGCCAAGTGCCCTGCAGCTCCCGGGGCTTGGGAGGTTGGAGCCTTGCGCAGGGATCTGTAAAGAGCTTGTGCCTCGTGCCCAGCGGCACTGGAAGCTCAGCTGGAGCCCGCTGTGGACACTCCTCAGGGCTGAGCTGCAGCCCCTCAGCCCTGCCTGGACACCCCTGGGTGCCCTGTGGGGGTCCTACAGCCTGCAGCACATTGGGGTGCAGCTTCGGGGGTAGCAGTGGGCACAAGCTCACGTCTCACCCCCCCCGGGATTAGCGGGGTGGCTTGACCTTAATCTCCCTGGGCATGCAGGGGCCTGGAGGGGCTGGCGTGGGGCTGCCAGGGCCCCCAGCACCCGCTGGGCCATGCCCTGCCTGGTAAACCCTGCTGGCTTGCCAGACACCGGAGTCAGTCCCAGCTCTACCCCATCCCAGTGACTGCTCCAAGGCTTCCTGTGCTAGATTTTCCCCAAAAAGCTGGTGGTGCTAACATATGCCCAAACCCCGGTGCTCTGGCCTACCCAGGGTGCCTCTAAAGAGACCCCAACACTCAGCACACAAGTGAGCGAGGCCAGGCCATGGCCCCTGCTCCGGGACACCATCTCCCCCCGCCACACTCTGGGGGACCCAAAGCAGGGCTCAGATCTGTGGGACAACAGGAGGAACAGGACAAACCTGACCTTGAGACAGTGCTTTGGCTGGACTAGGACTGGAGCTCTTCCACAGGCTCTTTCCGAAGTCCCCATAGGGGTGTGTGAGGCCCCTGTGGACCGTGGCTCCCCCTGGGCTGTGCAAGGTCCCCACGGGCTGCACATGGCTCCACAGGGATGTGAAAGGTCCCTATGGGGCTGTGCAAGGTCCCCACGGGCTGCACATGGCTCCACAGGGTCCCTATGGGGCTGTGCAAGGTCCACAGCGGGGTCCCTGTGGGGTGTGCATGGGCCCCATGGGGCTCTGTGAGGAACCCATCGTGTCTGTGCTGTCCTTGCAGGGCTCTGCAGGGACCCCAAGGGGCTCTGCAAGGACCCATGGGCTCTGTGAGGAACCCATCGTGTCTGTGCTGTCCTTGCAGGGCTCTGCAGGGACCCAAAGGGGCTCTGCAAGGACCCAAGGGCTCTGTGAGGAACCCATTGTGTCTGTGCTGTCCTTGCAGGGCTCTGCAGGGACCCCATGGGCTCTGTGAGGACCCAAGGGCTCTGTGAGGAACCCATTGTGTCTGTGCTGTCCTTGCAGGGCTCTGCAATGTCCCTGGGGGCTGTGCAGGGACCCCACGGGGCTCCAGCTCAGCCTTTCCCCAGTGTGACCCAGCTGAGCTGGGGCCTCGTGGGGCACATGGGGAGGATCCAGGGTGTTGGTTCCCTGCTGCATTTCCCCATGGCAGTTCCCCACGGCAGTTCCCGTGTCTCCTGGCCCATCTCCTCCCAGGAACACGTCCAGGCAGCAGCACAAGATACCAGCAGCATGGCTGGCTTCCCCTCATCACTCCAGAACCCGCTATTTCGGGCACAACCTCATGACTTTTGGGGGCTGGCGGTGCCAGGCCTGCAGTAGGGTTGAATGCCCATGGAGGGGGACAGGCTGCAGCATTGTAGGGGTCGCTGCCCCAGCGTTGCAGCGTGGGTATCCCTGAGCTGGCCGAATTGGGAGGCAAACGGCACAGAGAAGGGGTCAGTGTGTCCCCTCTCATGCTGTGGGCACCCGCCTCTGACACCTCCCTGGCCCCTCTCCTGGGAGGGGAGATGGCACCTTGCTGCTTCTCCGCAGCCTCACTTGAAGCTGGGAGGTGGCAGCAATACCCTGGACCCCCTGGCACCCCCTGCCCCCCGAGCCTCAGCCCTGCTACACCCAAACCTGGGGTGATGCATCCCCACACAGCATGGGGGGCCCAGGCATCCAAGCTCTGGGGCAGGGGTACCCCCAGACTGGGCACCCCGGGCACCTACCTGGCAGTGCCTGCGCCCCGGCCGCCCTGTGCTGCGTCCCCTCACATCGCGGCTCCGCGGCGCTGTGCCTGGTAAAGCCGATTATGCACCGGCTTTGCAGCTCTCCTCCTCCCCAGCGTCCCCTCCTGCCCGGCTGCAGTGCCTGGCACGGCCCGGGGGCACAGGGTCCCCTTGGCAGAGCGTGCGGGTCATCCCTGTGGTAGGAGCAATCCTTCACTCAGGTTCTGCACCCCCAGCCCATCCCATCCTGGGGAGCGGTTGGTCCCCCAAACTCAGAGGAATCTCTGAGTCCTCACCTCAAACTCCACCCCTGTCCCTCTCTGGAGGGCTCTTTGCCCAGCTGGCCCAGTTCTTAGCAAGCCACCCTCGGGTGAGCCAGGGTGTAGGGGGCCACCCCGGTTCCCCCATCCACAGTGGGTGTGAGCCCCAGCCCAGGCTGGAAAGAGATCCCTGGGGGTCCCTTTGTTGTTGGGGGCAGCACAGCACCCCCAAATCCCCCTGGGCAGCAATGATGACAGCACACAGCATGGGAAGGGTTCAGCTGTATTTTGACTCTGGAAGAAAATACAGGCAGTAATACAGAAGCTTTGCAAGCATAGATACATACACGATCTCCCCAAAACCGACTGGAGTGGGGGGCTTGTCCTGGCACCTTCTCCAGCCCACCCCTCTGCTGCACTTGAGGTCGGGGGGGGCTGCAGGCGTTTCCCAGTCAAGGCAAAAAGGCAAGAGATCTGCCAATGGCTGTATGGACTCTTGCCAAGGGGAAAGCTGCACCTATCAGACCCCAAAATCCACCTCACTCGAACAAAAAGCCTTCCTAGATACTTTCCTGACAAACCAACTCTGACCTGGACTGAGCATCTTTCTCTTAATCCCTGAAACAGCTGCTGAGCTCTGGCCGCCAGAGACGAGCCCGAATAACCGCAGCCGAGGAAAGGTGGGGTGAACCCCTCTGCATGCAGTGGCTCTCGAAGACGGGGCCTGGGGGGCCCCACTAGGGCTGAGCTTGTGGGACCAAGGTCCGTCACCCCAGCTGTCAAATCCACCTGGTCCCAAAAGGCAGCTCCGGTGCTTTCACCTCCCCTACTCCATCTCCACTCAGCTGGGCTCCAGTGGGGCTCCAGCCCGGCCCCCACCTCAGCTAAGGCACAACTCGGCTGATTAAGGAAAAGGGCAAGAGGTGCCTGGGACGGGGAACTTGGGGAATACAGTACACAGAGCACGGGAGTGCAGCGGGCAGGGGGCTGGGGAGGGGGCAATGGCCACAGAGAGACGTGGGCATCGCCCGCGAGCTGCCAGGAGCCCCCGCGCCAGCACCGCCAGGAATCACTAGCAAAAAAACACAGGAAAAGGGGAATTTTGGCTTCAGATCCCAAGGAAAAGGGTTGTAAAGGCACTGTGCTCCATTTGAGACAGGACAGCAGCCCCTGTGGCACGCAGCTCCAGTGGGTATGGCTGCGCTTTTCCCTGTCCTATGTAAAAAGCTTTGGCAAAAAAGGTACAATCTAAGGAGCATAAGGAGCATTTCAACTACAAACTCCTTCTGCATGGCTGCTTTGTAAACACAGTTCTTTGCTGTCTTTGGCTGAAGTTCTAAAAAATATTTGAAGCTGAAAAGCTATTTTTTGGTTTGGTTTTTTTTATATAGAAATAGATTTTTTTCTTTACAAAAAAAAATCAAAGCATCTTTTAGCACTTTTAATATATATATATATATAAAATTCCTGCTATAGAAAACAAAAAAAAAATAACCTTGGTTTTTGATATCTTTTTTTTTTTAAGGGAAAAAAATTCTGTTGCTTTGGGAAAAAAAAACAAACCTAGCTGGAGACGGGCAGGAACCACAGGAATGCGCCACGGAATTACATGATGCTGCAGTTCTGCACAGCCTGAGCCTGGGAGAGAGAAAGAAAAAGAGAGTTAAGAAGACCCTAGTGTCATCATCCATTTGCTCTGACTGCAAAGTGTCCAGTGGGATCCTTTGGATGCCCACAGTGCCCCCAGGTTCTCCTCCATCCTGGCCCTTGGGGTGTGATAAATAAGTCCTCCCAAGCTGGGATGTTCATAGTTCCAGAATTTGAGAATTATTGGTAGGTGGTTTATGAGGATTATAATATCGACTAAGAGTATCAATATAGAATATATTGTATATTAATCTAATATATAGATATAAAATGTATATTCAAGTGCTGAAATATTCACATTGCCAGCATGAACACTTAACTGCAGTGGAATGAGTGATGGGGAGGATGGGGAATGCTCTGGGGTGCCCAGGGGGCTGAGTGTAAGACAGAATGGGGTGGGAAGCTGCTCTGGCCACATCCCTTTCCAACCCCTCTCAGAACCCCCCCACCCCTTACAAAGAGCTTTGGGTTTGTGCAAGCCCAAAGAGGAAGAGGAAGAGCAGTGAGAAGGAGAGGTGGGAGGGGACAGGAGCCTTGCAGCGCTGCAGGGAAAGGACGGTGCCAGCACGGGGTGGGCACCCAGCAGCAGCGGGCAGTGCGGTGCCGGGGACCGGACAGCGGCCTGGCACGCTGGGCACTGACCTGCCTGCGGGGGCTGGAGCTCCCCAGGAGGTAGTTCCTGGACACCAGGCTGTCCCCCAGGCCGATGCCGGAGTCGCCCATGCTGCGGTAGCTGCGGGTGACGGTCACGCTGGAGGTGGATGAGCCCGAGGACATGGTGCTGATGCCGGCGTTCTGCGTGCCCGACTTGTCGGCCGGCTGGCCACACGTGCCACAGACCACCGTGCGGGAGCGCAGGTTGTATTCACCGGGGTCCCCAGAGCCACTGCAGCCCTGCACACGGGGGGACACACAAAACGGCCTCAAGCCCCTGCCAGAGCATCCTCTGCACCCTGAGGATGGCGGCGGCAGCGGCGTCACCCAGGACAGCTCTTCACATTAGGCCTTGAAGAGAATCTGCCTCACCTGTCCTCTCCACCACGTGGTTTAAAAATAATAAAACAGAACCCTTATTATTGCGTTTCTAATCCCAAGAGAGTGGGGCCAGCACGCTGCCAGTGGGTGACCTGCCCTGCTGCCCTGAGCTTGCACCCTGAGCTCTCCGCACATGGGAGACACCTGAACTGCGTTCCTGAAAACATCCTCTTCCTCACCACTGTGAGCTGGCAGCTTTCCGATGGGAAGTTTGGTCTTGGAAAGGATTCAGCCTCCAGAGGAATGGGCAGCAGTGGCTGCAGGAGCTTGGCTCCTCTGTCCAGGGGTAAGTCAATATAGAAGAAAATCACAGAATCATGGAATGGTTTGGGCTGGAATGGACTTGAAAGCTCATCTCATTCCAGCTTCCTGCCATGGGCAGGACAGCTTCCACTATCCCAGGTTGCTCTAAGCTCTGTACAACTCGGCCTTGAACACTTTAGGGATGGGGCAGCCACAACTTTCCTGTGTAACCTGTGCCAGGGCCTCAGCACCCTCACAGGGAACAATTTTCTTCCAGTATCCTGTCTAACTCTGCCCTCTAACTGTCAGTGGGAAGCCATTGTCCTGTGTCCTGTCACTCCATGGCCTTGTCCAAAGTTCCTCTTCAGCTGTCTTGGAGTCCCTTTAGGCCTTGGAAGGAGTTCTAACATCTCCCTGAAGTTTTCTTTTCTCCAGGCTGGCCCCAGTTCCTCCTGCCTGCCTCCAGAGCAGAGAGACTCCAGCCCTCAGAGCATCGTCATGGCTACTTCTGGACTTGCTCCAGCAATTCTGTGTCCTTCTTGTGCTGGGGGCCCAAGAACTGGACCCTGCACTGCAGGTGGGTCTCACAAGGGCAGAGGAGAGGAGGACAATCCACCAGCTCAACGTGCTGGTATCAATCTCAGCACAGCTCTTCAGATCCAGAGAACTCAAAGGGCAGTTGATGATGGATGTTCCATTTTGCTCCTGCAGAGCTCTGCAAGTGACATCCAGAAGATCTTCCACCCTTGCTGAGGCATGGCTTGGCCACGATGGAACCTCTCTGCATGTGATTCCGTGGGCATTTCGTGTGCAGGACACAGAGCCCCTGCAGCCTGGGTTGCTGGGGGGTGCTGGGCTGCAGCCAGGGATGTTTCTCTCAGAGAAGTGGCTGCAGCTCTGCTCCTGGCACGCTGCCTGCTCTCTGCCCACTGCCTGCTGCTCCTCCTGGTGCATATTTCATCTCCGTGTGGGGAAAGATGGACTGAGAGGAAGGACAAAGCCACCTCTGGATCTGTTCCAGCACCCTCATGAAGCAGAGAGAACAGAGCAGCTGCTGACAAGAAGTGTCATCCATCAACTTCCCACCATCCTATCCTCCAAGCAATGCTCAGCCTCCCTCCGACTCTTCTGGCCCTTTTCATGGCATGTCAGGGTTCCTTAGGCTTGGAGACAACTTCCAGTAAGGTCTTCAGAGCTTTTTTAGTGAGCAGCAATCTCCTCCAGATGCCAAAGGTCTGCTGGCTTCTCTCATGGAGTTATTTCCACAGCAGCCTCCCCACTGCTTTCTCCTGTATGCCTGATCCTGTTTGATGCTGAGCTCCTTCCCACCCTGCCTGAAGCTGCACCCCCCGGACCCCTCGGAACCAGCGGCATCCCCAACCTTCTACTCACATGGTGGTGGCGGTGGTGGATGCTCATTTCCTCATCGTCCTCATCCTCATCATCGTTGATGATCACAGTGCGGACCAGTTTCCGCATGGCCACCTCCTGCAGGGGACAGGGGGTGAGTTGGGAGGGTCAGTGCCAGCCGCCCCCTCCCCGTGCCAGAGCTGCCATCGGCTCTCACCTCCCCGTTGGAGTTGATGAGGGCGGTGCGCAGGCTGTCCCCGGAGCCCCAGCTGCTCTGGGTCTTCCACACCAAATTACTGGGGGGGCTGTGGGTTGCTCCAGCTCCTGAGGCCCAGATCTAGGGAAAAAAGCAGGAGAAAAGTGACTTCGCTGGTCTGCAGACTCCACAGCTCGGGAATGGGAGTCTATCACCACAAAAAGCCACACACCAACCACGTAAGCGGCCTGGCAGGGTTTGGATATTGCCTGGATCCTCTGCCAGGCGGTGACTCACCGTGACCACCTGGCCAGCCTTCAGGGTGTACTTCGGGGGGAAGCGGTAGGTAAGGGGGGGATCGTCCCCATTTTGCCGCTTGATCTGCCAGTTGCCCATCGCCTGGTCCTGTGAGAGAGAGCAGCGACCTCAGAACCCCGGTTCCTCTCCAACTTGTCCCATTCACCTCCTGCCCGTAGGGTGAAGCAGGGCTGAACCTCACCCCAGGGACTCTAGGGATCTCCCTGAAGGCAAACTCACTTCGTTGGACTTGTTCCTGAGACGGACGAACTTGCCCTCCAAGTCCACCTCCTCCACGCCAACACGGCCACTGGTCCGGGCATGGTGGGAGAAGCTGGTCCGGCTCTCACTGTCCTCCAGCTTCCGCTTCTTGGAGGAGCCTGGGGTGGACAGGTGGCTTCGGGATGCACCTTTGTGGGATGAAGGGCTGGGGGACAGCCTCAGCCTGGCGGGGGGGAGAAGAGGAGATGAAGCCAGTGAGGACACGAGGGCTGGGACCCGTGCAGCCCAGAGCTGGGCACAGCGCCCTGTGCTCACCGCTCCTCCTCGCCCTCCAGCAGCTTGCGGTAGGCGTTGATCTCCATATCCAGAGCCAGCTTGATGTCCAGCAGCTCCTGGTACTCGTCCAGCTGCTGCTGCATGCGTGCCCGCATCTCGGCCATCTCCCGCTCCTTGTCGGACAGCAGGCGCCGGTTGCTCTCGCGTTCCCTGGCCAGAATATCCTCCAGATCGTGCAGCTTCGCCTCCTTGGCAGCCAGCTGTGGGGAGGGCAGGTGAGCGTGGGCCACTCCACCTGGGACCATCCCCAGGAGGTGACCGTCCCCAGGGCACCCTTTGGTGTCAGCTCACCTGCTTCTGCAGCTGGCTGACCTCTGAGGAGAGGTTGTCAATGCGGATACGGGTCTGCTGCAGCTCCTCGTGGGCAGCACCCACCATGTTGCTGTTCCTCTCAGCTGACTGCTTGGCATTCTCCAGCTGGGGGACAGGACAGGGGAATCGGCATCTCAGCACCCACAGCCCACCCGTGCTCTTTGGGGCTGAAGGGAGAGGAGAGTGCCGTGGGGAAGCTGCTCACCTTTGCCCCGTAGGTTTTCTCCAGTTCCTCCTTGTACAGCCTGATCTGGGCCTCGTGCTGGCTCCGCAGCTCCTGCAGGGCCTCGGAGAGTTTGCTCTCAAACTCCCGCTGCCGCCCGTTGTCGATCTCCACCAGCCGGGTTTCGTGGCGCCGCTTGGTCTCCCGCAGCTCCTGGGGACAGCAGGGGACACGGTCAGGGAGGGGACATGACACACCTAGAGGGGGTGATCCCAGACCCATGGCAGCACACCGCAGCTCACCTCGCTGTAGATGTTCTTCTGGAATTCCAGCTCTTCCTTCAGGGTCTGCAGCCGGTTCTCAGCGTCCACGCGGCGCAGCATCTCATCCTGCAGCTGCTTCTTGGCTTCGCCCAAGGCACTTTCCAGCTGGCAGGGAATCGAGAAGGACCATCACAGTGGGCTCTGGGCACTGCACCTGGCATGGCTGGGGACCCACCACCCAACTGCATCTGCCCCACAGCCCCTGGCACAGCAGGGCCCTGGCAGCCCCAGGCAGGGAGTAAAAAGGGATCCCTGGGTCAGCTGGAGACAGAGCTGCCACTGCTCACCTTGGCCACCTGTCCCCTCAGGTCTCGCACTTCATTTTCCAGATTCCTCTTCTCACCCAGGGCCGTGGAGAGTGCAGCCTCCTTGGAGTTTAGCAAAGCCTCCACATCCTTAAGGCGTGCCTGGGCGGTCAGCAGGTCCCCTTCCTTCTTGGCATTCCTGCAGGGCAAAGGGTGGCACAGGTGAGTGGCACAGCAGGAATAATCAGTCATCAGGAAATAATGGAATTGTTTTGGTTCAAAGGGACCTTAAAGCTCATCTAGCCCCACGCCCTGCCATGGGCAGGGACAGCTTCCACTAGACCAGGTTGCTCCAAGCTCCACCCAACCTGGCCTTGAACACCTCCAGGGATCCACAGCTTCTCTGGGCAACCTGTGCCAGGGCCTCACCACCCTCACAGAGAAGAATTTTTTCCCAATATCCCATCCAACCCTGCCCTCTGGCAGGGGGAAGACATTCCCCCTTGTCCTGCCACTCCAGATCCTTGTCTGAAGTACCTCTCAAAATTTTCTAGTCACTCTAAGTACTGACTCTAAGGTCTTGTCAAGCTTCTCACCCACCAAAACCTCCAAGTTTTTCTCCTCAGGGCTGTTCTCAGAAAAGTCTGTGCACTGTACCCGGAGCACAAACAGCGTCACTCCTGCCCCCCTCTGATCACTCCCAAAAGTGCTGCACAGCCGTCCCCAACAGCCACCCACCACGGGGACCAGCACATGGCATCCACCCGGGGACCAGCACATGGCATCCACCCGGCACACCCAGCCCCAGCTGGGATCCCAGCGAGCAGGAAGGGAATGACTGGCAGGGCAGGAGTCTCAGGGTGGTGCAATCTGCACGCCAGGCACGGCAGGAGAGCAGGCCGGGCGTGCTGGGATGCAGGATGGTGGGACACTGCAGCATGCTGCGCTGCGGCACAGCCGTACAGCATGGCATGGATCTGCGCTGTGAGGGGTGGCAGAGGCCACCGTGGCATGGGACAGTCAGATGTGCTAGCGTGGCTCAGCACGGCGTGGCATCGATGGTGGAGCTGGGGAGGAGCTGAAACTGCCCCATAGCCAGTGCTGCCCGCGTGAGTGGCCAGGCAGAGCAGTCGGTGGCACCCCGGCAGTGCCAAGAGTTCCATGCCAGGGAGCACCAGGGGCTGGGCGCTGCCCTGCTGGGGCTGTGCCTCGCCGTGAGCTCCGCTGGTGCTCGGTGGATGCAGAGCTGGGGTGCCTCAGCCCCCCGGTCCCGCCTCTGGCATCACCATCCACCATCCTGCCCCCCTCTCTTTTCCAGCCCTCTGCCAGCAGGTCAAAGCCGCTCCTCTGAGCGGGGAATCCGATCTGACTGCACCACCAAAACACGGCCTGCAGCTATTTTGGTAGGTCCTATAAAAAGAAAAGACCCAGCGGCCCCCCAGCAGCCGCCAAGGCCGCGGTGGGACTGCCACCCCAGCTCCGTCCCAGCGGGGTGTGGGGCTGGCGGGGGGCCCGAGGACATCCCGAGCGAGGAGCGGGACCGGTAGCGGCACGGACGGCGTTTCCACACTCGCAGATGCGGGAATTGGAAGCTCCTGGATTGGCCAGCAGCAGATTTTCCCCTCATTTCTTTTTGTTTCCTGACCCGACCAGCATGGAGAAGTTATTCTGTTATTTTGGAGATTAAAGCAAAGGTTTCAAAATCCCAGGCTACTGTTTCTAAGTGCAAACCTCCCTTCAAATCCCAGGATATTCCATGTTAAAAGAGTAGGAATTCCACTTAAGGACAGTTTAAAAAAAAGCAACAATTCCTACACGTACAGTAACAAAATTCAGAATCACTTAAAGTGCTGCTGTCAGGAAATGCAGAGCCCAAGAGCCTCTGGGAATCCAGGAGCAGATTGCAGACTTTTTCTTGGAAGTGAGTGAAGATCTGTCTTCTGCCTTTCTTTCAGTTTCTGAAAGCTCCTTTCCCAGCCCAGAACACTCTTTATTGTGGTGTAAAGGGCTCAGTGTAACGTGTTGGATCTGTAATGAATTTTAGAATGTATCTGTGGTTGGATTTTCATATTTTAATGTTTAGGGCTCTCAGGTAAGAGGGTCTCAATGATATGCACAGAGTATGATTTCATAGTCCATAAATTCCATAAAACAGCCTCTTTTATGTCTAAATAGCATTTAAGCAGTCTAGAGAATTTGGAATTTAGCCCACAGTGGAATAACTGACCAAGAAATGCTGCTGGTCCCCATTTCCCAGGGAACCACAGTCTTGCCTGCCCGAGCTGCTGCTGGAGCTCTGTGCTGGGTCTTTCCTGTTCAACCCACTCCTTTCGTGCCAGTGACTCACAGGACAAGAATGCCAACTGGGAGCGGGTCCGAGGCTCCGGGGCTCGCTGAGTTTTCTCATCTGGCCCTGGCTCAGCCCCGTGGCCAGCGTGGCCACCCCAGCAGTGCCGGCGGGGTGCAGCCCTGTCCTTGCTGACCGAGTGAAGTGCCCTGGGCTTTGCTGCTGCCCTTTGCTTGCCGTGGCAGCTGTGGAGGTCTGGGCATAGCTGGAGGACACTGGCTCGTTGGGATGGGGCTCCAGCACGACCTGGATGATATAATTCTTTCAGGGGACAGCAGCTCCATTGACCGGTGACAATGGAGGGAAAAATGCTGAGGGTTACACTTGTGCCTGCAGCAGATCTGCCCTCTCCTGGGACCAGAAGTATCCAGGGTTCTGGGCATCAACACCTGGAAAGCCCCACAGTAAATCCCAAATGACTCAAGCACAAATCCCTTTTCCTTAGAAGCCTCCTGTGCTCAGCTCTGGACCCCACTGTGAGAAGAGCCAGAAGCATGGAGCTCACCAGCCACAGGACTGAGCCAGAGGGAGAGGGGTGAGACAAATCCTCTCCTGTCCTCTGCTCTGGCGGGTCCAGTGGTTGGCAGAATTTGGCTCCCTGGGCCCTGAGCATTTCCCCCATGTTCCTTCCAGACACACCCTGACCCTGGACGTGGCAGCAGTGTCTGGATAAGGTATCAGCACACAGGGGAGTCCCCTCTGGCCTTGGGGACCCCCAGCCCGCTGCTTCACACTGGCCCTGATGATCCCTGCTCCAGCCCAGCCAAGGTTTGAGTTTTCCCTTCTCTGCCCTCAGGTCCTGCTTTTATTCCCGGGAAGCCTCACAGGCTCCAGCTGGCACTGGGCTAAAAATAAAAATTTCCATGGCAGCTGTGTCACTCCCACTTCCCCGGAGAGGAGGACGAAGACAGACCTTCCTCCTTCTCCCCAGAGGGTTTCACTGGCTTCCCCATCCTGCCTGCTAGAGCCTACAAGATCCCAAATTCCCCAGTGAAAAGAGAAGCAGAGACTCATTCTGGAGGGCTGGGTGCCTCCAAATCCCACAGGATCTGATCCCCTGTGCTGTGAGAGCCACGGGTGAAAACAATCCAAGAGGAGAAAAAACAACACAGGCATCAAATCCTCAAGAAACAAATATCTCAAGAGAAAAGATGGAGGGAAAAGGGGCCTCAAGACATTTTATTTTTAGCTTTTAAAAGCAGGAAGAAGGGAAAAAAAAAAGGATTGAAAATTGCAGCTGAGCTGCCAGAAAATTCAAATGTTAATGGAAAGTTGGATCTGCTCTGGCTGTGCTCAGCACAGACAGACGTGAGGATGCGAAGTCGACGTGATGGATTTAGAGAGGGCTCAGGAACAGCCCTGCAGAGCAGCATCTGCTACTGCTCCCCCCTCTCTGCCCCAAAATCCCAGCCAGGAAACCTGGCAGGTCTGGGCACTCCCTCTGGAAAAGTCAAGACAGGACAGAGTCGTCAGAGCTTGTTGGAACAGCTCCAGGCATGAGCCCACCAGGCTGCTGGAAAGATGCCAACCCTCTCCGAGATGCCAGAGCCCACTCAATGCGTTTTTAAGAAACACTCTTTGGTTTCCCTCCCCTCTATTAATCCCCACAAGTGTTCCTGAAGCATGGGCAGCACTGGGCTTTGTATGCTGGAAGAGGACCAATGAGTGGGATGGAACTCAGAGGTGCAGGCGTTCCCCTCCTTCCCTGCCTCCAAATTGCAGCTGCCCCACCCTGGAAAAGGTGCCAGCTCAGGGAACTCGCTGGCTCCTGCCCCATCCCTAAATCTTTTTGGATGTCTGCAAATCCCCCCACACTGCAGGTCTCGGTCCCACCTGGCTGCCAGGGGCCACAGCTGCCTGCTCCTGGCTACCCTAGAAAAGGCTTGGACACATTTCCAGCTTGGGAACCCGAGGCAGGAGTGGAAGTGTGTGCCCATGGAAGTCTCAGATTGCTGGGAGGACCCAGGAAATCTGCTTTGCTCCACCTTGGGCAGGCAGGCTGCTGTCCACGCTGCCTCCAGTGCCAGGGATCTGTCCCAGGCCACCACACATACCCCAGGGACCACCCCCCATCCCAGGGATCACCCCCCATTCCAGGGATGGTTCCCCAGTCCCAGGGGTTGTTTCTCCATCAAGGATCGTTCCCCCAGGGACCAGGGCCCCACAGGACAGGCAGCAGGGACAGCACGAGGAGAGGCGGACCTGGAAAACCTCTGCAGTGGGGCAATGGGAATGTGGCAAAGCAGCTTCTCCCAGCTTCTGACTCATCTGTGCCGCAGCACCTCTGCCAAATCACCAGGATAAACACGGGCTGGTCTCCTAGCAGGGGAGCTGGAAATAGCCAGCATGATGTCTGCACAGAGCCAGCATCCTGTGGGGCACCAGAGGCAGCTGGGGATGCCAGCACATGCACACGTGCATGGAAACAGCTTCTGCATCTGGCATCAGCGGTGCCAAAGAGCCTTCCTGGTGCCAGGGTCAGTGCTAGCCCTGCCACACGCTCCTGATACACTCGTGACATGCTCAGCCATGGGGCTGAGGGACTCGTCCATCTCCACGAGGCCCCAGAGGTGCAAAACCAGCTCACTGGCATCTCCCAGGAGGTGAGCTTCCCCTCCTGGAATTGGGATCTGGCCTCTCCTTGAACCCTTAAAATGAACCAAAACTGCTGCTTCGTTGGGAAACAGGAAAAAGCCTTTTAGGGGGAGGCAAACAGACCACCCTGTCTAGGATTCCCCAAATCCAAGATGTTCCTGTCTCTCCACAGCTCCCAGCACCAGGAACACTGCTGGGAGCTGTGGGTGCACACACACTGAAGTGATGGAACCTGGATACTGATACCGCCAGGAATC